CGCCGATGTGGGTAAGTTTAGGGTATATTTTGGTTAATTTTTATTTAAGTTTTCGCATGATTTTGGCTGATTTATGGTTAGATATCGAATGTAATTGGTTGATTGAGGTTGTGGGAGTAATCAACTGCCAACTAAACCCATTTTTATTGGTTCATGTGCCATCACACGCCGTCGGGTGCTCGTGGGGCTTACTCCAAGCTTTGGTTCTTCTAGAATCGATCCAAATGGACCAAACCAAGTCAACCCAAACTGATATGAGTCAACCCGAACCAGTCTGACCCGTTGACTTTGACTCGACCCGTTCACTTTGACCTGATCCATTGACTTTGACTAGAGTTGGCCGTTAACTTTGACTTTGACCAAAAAGTCAAATTTTCCAAAAAGTCATATTTTATGTTTTTCGACGTCCTGAGTCCGAATCCGAAGTCCGTTTTGCCAAATTCAAATCCGAAAGCCTCCGAATTGACTATTAAACTCGAATATGCATTAAATTAAGTAATTATTTTAGTGCATCAATTTTAACTTAAGGGTCAATGACTAATTAATGTTACGGTATATTTAAGGTACTTGCGGATCTCCTGATCGTTCGCCTGCTCGACCCGGTTCCTCCCAATCTGCTCGTCCACGAGAACTCGTGAATACTCGTTCTTTTTCAGCAGAAGAGCGTAACAGAGCCGGTGCTTGTTAGATCTTTCAGATTGATACTTTTTGCGAGGTGTGTTCCTTGTGTGACATATACCTGTTTTAAATATCTGCTTGAAAAATCATGTGCACGTGACTGTTTTATCTGCTTTGCAATATGACTGTCTATTTGAATTGGTTTCATATGATTTGTCTGATTTAAAGCCTAGTTTTCGATTTACTAAAGTTTAAGCATGATTGTCTGATTCATGTTCTTTGATTCATGTTTTTATTGATAAATAAATATGTATAAATTTTGATTCCCTGCTACCACTGATTACTTTATGAAAACTATTTTTCTCTGGGGTACACTAGGATCTGGTATGAAGTCTCTGCAGGTTCAGCTTGGTCAAATAGGTAATTCCTCATATAGGTTCAGACCGATCGAGCTGGTAATTCCTTATAGACCTAAGGCAACTCTTGGGTTGGCTCCTAGGCCTAATACGCCTAGTGGTAAGACCTTATGAACCCTAAGATACTCCCTTAGGGTGGCTCCTCTGCTATGTGCATTGGGTAAGTCCTTATGGGCCTAAGGGCACTCCCCTCAGGTGGGCACCTACGCTTCGGCTAGGGTAAGACCTTATGGACCAAAGGTGCTCCCTTAGGTTGGAACCTACGCCCGTTGGGCCTAGGGTAAGTCCTTATGGATGCAGTTATGGGGAACTGCATATGGTGTTCGGTTGGAGGGCGATTTTGAATATTTAAACTAAAAATTTTACTGATGTTTTTAATATTTGAAACTGAACTGATTTTGAAACCTCTATCGACGTTCCATGACATTATTGATGAACTGGTTTTGAAATCTAAATTGTATGTTTATTTCTGCACTGTTGGAACACAATGAGCTCCCTAGCTCACTCCCCCAAATTTCTCTCTTTCAGATACCTTTTGGATAGGCGACCCATGCCTGGCACTTGGAGGATCGACACATTAGTACAATGACTTTTTGTTGTAATGTTTTATCTTCCTAATTGCATTTAATTTGGGTGACATGTGTCTATGTTTTGAAAATACTACTTTTGTTACTGATGTTAGATTTGCCTCAATATTGATTTTGAAATATTTTATTTTTACGACTTAAATTTACTAAATTTAAACTTTGATGCTATTAATTATATTTTTAAAGATGTTTAATTACAATTTGGATTTTAATTTATCAAAGAATGTCTTTGGAAAATTTTATCGTAATCCACTAGATATGGTCATAACGCATAGGTCGGGTCTAGGGGTTACAACGATCGTCAACCATGGTGAAACCAAAGTCCCTGTTGATTATGTTCTTGAGCTCTAACGAAACATTACGAAAGAAATATATTGTAGTTTTCTCCATAGTAATTTTATGCCCCGAGACTATGCAAAAATGATCAAGGACGTTACGAATGACATCAAGTTGCTCTATTGAAGCTTCAGCAGAGAGAATCATGTCATCAGAAAAGAGCAAGTGTGAAATATCAGGGCCGTGCTTATCAGTACGAAACGGTTTCCAACGATTCCTATTAATCTCAAACTGAATTGGTTGTGCTGGCCTCTCCATACATAAAACCAATATATACGGAGATAATTGGTCACCTTGTCGAATACCACGCGTTGGATAAAACACCTCTGTCATAGACCCATTCCAAAGAATCTAAGTTGAGACCAAAGAGATGCACTGCATGATAAGACCACGAAGGCTGTTTGGTATACCAATATCCATCAAAGTATCATTAATAAAATTCCAGTCTAATCCATTGTACGCTTTCTCAAGGTTAATTTTAATTGTCATCCGACCACGTTTGCATGTTGTTCATCTCATAGAATGGATTTGATCCTGGGTGATAATGATGTTATCTGTAATACATCGGCCTGGGACAAATTTGGTTTGATTATCAGAAATCCATTTGGATAAAAAATGATTTCAGACAATTCATAATAATTTTAGTAATTTCTTTGTACAAAACAATGCAGATACTAATTGGACGAAATTGATGTATCGCTTCAAGTGTGGGCACTTTTGGTAAGAGAACCAATAGTGTACGATTAATAGAAGTGGGAATTCGACCCTCAGTAAATATCTTCTTCAAAAGAGAACAAACAGAACCACCCACGATTCCCCAGTTTCACTGATAAAAATACTACATGGAGGCCATCAACACCTGGAGCTTTGAAGGCTTCCATGCTGATGATAACCGCTTGAATTTCCTTATTCGAAACCGTTTGTCATAAAACATTAACCATGTGACTCCCCACTCTCAGAAAGCACCCACACCCTCTTAGTTGTTGTTCGCAATTCCTTGACGGATAAACAAATTTTTAAAGAAGGATTGGGCTAGGTCCTTAAGATCCTCTTGATCCGTAGTCATAGAACCATCTGCCCTTTTTAAAGAGTGCACTATGTTCCTACGCCGGCGAGCAAGAGCAGAGGCATAAAAGAAGGATGTGTTGCGATCACCCTTAATAATCCACTAGGAACAAGTCTTTTGTCTCCACAAGCTCTCTTCTTGATCCAATATCACCTCAAGTTCATAGGTTAACTACCCAGCCTCGCAAGTGATTCCAAATTCGTATGTTGCATCGCCCTATCCACACCATGAATACGAACGATTGATCTTTTATTCCTCTTGCCTATATGTCCAAAAGTTTCAGAATTCCACGCCGCAACTTGGTTTCTAAAAGAACTAATATTCACTTCAATGTCTACATCCTGGTTCCAAACTGAACAAAGAAAATCATTAAACTCATGGTGCTCCTGCCAAGCCACCAAGAAGCGAAAAAGACGATAAATGTTGCCAAAATTGTCATGAAACAGCTTACGAATAATGGGTCTATGATCCAAACCCAGACAATCCAAATGAAATACCCGAGAATCCTCAAAATTAGTGCACCAAGAATTATTAGCTAACCGACGATCAAGTCTGTGATGAAGATTACCTTTGGTCCATGTGAAATCCGGACCAACAAAACCAAGATCTAATAGGCCTGTAGAGTGAATAAAATTAGGGAAAGGACGAATACCATTGAAATAAACATTCGAACCGCCATACACTCATTTGCATTTAGAATCACATTGAAATTGCCACCAAGGGCCCAAGGTATGTTCTCACCGGATTAAGGGTCTCAAGTTGATTCCAAAGCTGATTTCGTTTACTACCATTAGGATTCGCATAAACATTAGTAAAATGAACCCAATTTTTAATCTCCTAACTCCAAATTTAAGCATGAATAAATGATTAGAGATGGGAGTAACCACAAGAGTAACCGGCTCATTCTAAAGGAGTCATATGCCACCACAAAACCCTGAGCATCCACACGGTACGAGTGCCATAAACCAAGTTCATAAATTACTCTACCCGTCTTACTACCACCTAGAGGAGGTTCCATGAGAGTCACAACATTCGGCTTATACTCACGAACAAACGACTAAAAATATCTAATAAATGACAAGCTAGTAGCTCCTTGATAGTTCCAACTCATCAGACAAATCATTAAAACCAATCAGAAGAGGAAACAACACTTACTATTGAGCTTAGTACCCTATGAATCTCCAACCCCTTTATCAATCACCATATCTGAACGTCCCGTAACATTTCCATACACATCTTTGATGTTAGAGGAGCTAGTTTGATTCATAGAACGATATTCCCTTCTCGCTTTCATAGATAACTGATACGCAACATTTTGCGTCCAGGTAGTAATATTCGTTTTGTTATTCGTCAGATACTCAATCGATTTATTGTTCCTTATTTCTTTGAAGGTATTTTTCCTTTTCTAGTTTTTCCATGGCCTCACGGGATTTTGAGATTTTAATACCATGATTGTTCTTTACACCCATGTTCGATTCTTTAGTTGCTAAAGCAGTATGCTTACCACCATTAGTTTTTGTGGCATGTTCGACCATTTCCACTTGTTGCCCAACCATTTTCGGAACCACATCCACGTGACCTACACTATTTTTAGATGATTTATTTGCTTTTCTGGATTCGACGCAAGATAGGCTGCTGAAGGGTTCACCAATCGTTTCAGCATGTCTTGGTTTGATTGAATCGGCTGCACCACTTCGCCTTTTTACGAGTTTGGACATTAATCACATTTTCACCCTCAAGCTTTTCCTCGCTCGCTAATTCAGATTCATTCCTAGCCTCTTCCAAGGCAGCAAACCGAGACCATGTAGAAACACTTTCGTTAACCCGGGTGTTCGATTTCTGTCTGTTTTGTTCAGTTCTTTTCATGCAATTTTCGAGCACCATCCAGGGACCATAGAGCCCTTATTCCAAAATAGCATTCTCTTTAGGGGCAGTTTGATTATCATTACCAATCTGCTCACTAGTCACATTATGATCTTAACATTTCATGCATTGCTCTTTAACATGACCATACACTCCACAATGAAAGCATATTTGGTGTAATTCCTCATATTCAATTTTTCGCTTAACACCATCGATTCCAATACAGGGAATAAGTGGTTTATTCAGATCGACTAAAACCGCAAGTCTCGCGAAATTGCCCCTCTCCCCCACTTGTATATTGTAGTCAATTTTAACCACATCGCCCACCATTGTAGCAATCAGACGAAATAGAGCCTTAGTGTAATATCTGTAAGGTAGCCCAGGTAAACGAATCCAAATGATAACCTGATATGAATACTTCTCAACAGTGGAAAAGTTTCGAGACCATGGTTGAACAGTGAGATAACTCTCATATATAGTCCATGGCCCTTCTGTTAGTACTTTGATATAGTCCCTTTCATCCGCAAACTTAACCAGAAAATAGTTATTGTCTAGATCTGTCAAGTGTACCTCACCAACTGGTTTCCAAACCGCATTAATGCGGTTCAACAAAGCCTTATAACCAATCATCCTACCAAGCAAACGAACAATTATGACATTCTTCATATTTCAATCGATTTGTTCATGTACTTTTTCAGAGAATTTAATTTTTGAAAAGTCACCAGGGCGATCAATAATATAATCATCTTCGAGAACAATCACTTCATCGTTGTTTATGCCACAGCCACTATTTAACGTTTTCAGTGAAGTAGGTGAGTCAGCCACCATGCTCGCATAGGTAGTCTTGCCAATGTTGATTCCATGGATTCGCATGTTAGGAATATCAGTCTGCTGTATTCCAGAATCATCACATTCATTCCTAGCAGCACTTCCTCTAACGGACTCCACTTCCATAACTTCAGTCTCACGCTCCTCCAAAACGCTGTTAGTTTGCTCCTCACCATCACCCTTGTTGTTTTTCACTTTCTTCTGAACTCGCTGATCAACAACAAGAACCGGAGAACCAGACCTTTCTAGAGAGGTTTGCAGATTGAACCGCGATATACCCATCCGACGGACAGCCACCAGGGTATTGGAGAGAATGGGCAGCACGCTAGGGTTTTCGTTTGACATGTTTTTAAAATTGAAGATTTTGATAAAGTTTAAACACTCGAAGAATAAAAAAAGAACGGATGACACTCCTACTTTCATTAAAATTTAATCTCTAGTTTAGATAAATTAAAAGGATATAATTTATAATTTAAACTCCATTCTTATTTTGTAATAAAATTAAGATAAGCCAAAAGAATGTAATATAACAATTTAAACTCTCTATCTTCTTTTATTTATTAAGATGACCGCAACTATATAAAAAGATTAAGAGAAAAAGAGACGTCTCTCAAATTTTCTCTTTCTTTATGAGTTGGTAAACTCTTAATTTTTTTAATTATCAATTTTAGTATTTTTATGTATTATGTTTTATTTATTTATTTATGAATCGTATGAATTGACCAATCTAATATTTTTTAAATCTTTATATTACTAATTAAAATATTATAATTTGTAATTATGGACAAGTTTTGGTATAAATAGTAAAATGTCTTGGTCAGATATCTTTTCATTATTAAATTTCAATTTAAAATTTTAATTATTTTCTTTTTATTAACTTTTTTAATTTAATTAGCGTTATATAAATTCTTCTCTTTTATTTTTCTTATTTATTTCATAAAATCAATATAACATTACTCTCTATGGATTTGTCACTGCAATTAAAGTTATATTTAACAAAAAAAAATATTTTTGAAGGGCTCGAAAATCTATCATATCGGAAAGTTCTAACAACAAAATATATCCATATAATATATAAAATTCTAATAATTATAAATATTAATAAATAATAAAATATTTATATAAAAATTTACTCCATTAGACACCAGGTTTGATCCTTAATAGTTTAAAAAGAAAAAGGGAATTTGGTTTGATATTGGAGAGTCTTCGTATATATTTGATTTTTGAAAAACAGTACATGCCGTTACCGAAATGAACACAATAACGGCGACGCGACAAGAGAACGTGGACCATTTTCACAAACTACACCGTTTTGGTGGTCGCTATTGTTTAATGTTTACTCAACCCCGACACTTTCCTTCGCTCTTTTATAGTCTCTATGCATCCTCAATCCTCTCAATGTTAAAATTTTCAATTTCTTCTTCCCACAAATGATTCTTTTAATTTTTCCCCCATTAAATAAGTAGTGTACTATTAAGTATTGATCGTATCGTTCCCTTCTTCGTTTATAAATTTCAGGTGATTTGATTTATAAAAGAATTAACTGACCCTATTCCATGTGTAATGGGATAAGAGGAGGTACCTTCAACGCCAGATCGAGACGTGAGAGACTTCTGACAAGAGCTAGATTGGATCTACTCGTTACAATCCGAGTTTGCAAGAATTCTCAAGTAAAAATTTATTTAATTGTTATTCGTTATGGTTTTCTGTTTTTTTTTTCTTTTTCTGTTTATTGAAGGATTTATGCTGTTTGGTTGTGACTGCAAAAATCGCTGAGATGATAATAAACGAGAATAGATAATGGTTTGATCTATCTATGGAAATTCAAATCAAGTCGATATCCCTCTATTTGTCTTTTTTTCTTTTATAATAGTATAATTTCTTTTGGGATGTAAATATGGGCCTGATGGAATAATTATTGATAATTCTATTTCTATGTAAGAGAGAACAAGTGGGGGGAATTCCTTGGTTTGATTCTTCTTTTTTTTAAGTAAAGGCGTTGTTGATGATGAGAGAAAATGGATATCCATTTTTAGATTTTTATATGTTGTTATTTGATTGGTGATTGAATTTTTAAAGTTTGAAGCAATCATTTTCTTCCACCTTATTTGGTTGCTGTTGACTTGTTTAGTTTAAAGCTTTCTGTAAAAGTCTTTTGCTGAATCTACAAGTTGTACTATATGGTTTTCTGTTTTTTTCTTTTTCTTTTTCTGTTTATTGAAGGATTTATGCTGTTTGGTTGTGGCTGCAAAAATCGCTGAGATGATAATAAACGAGAATAGATAATGGTTTGATCTATCTATGGAAATTCAAATCAAGTCGATATCCCTCTATTTGTCTTTTTTTCTTTTTATAATAGTATAATTTCTTTTGGGATGTAAATATGGGCCTGATGGAATAATTATTGATAATTCTATTTCTATGTAAGAGAGAACAAGTGGGGGGAATTCCTTGGTTTGATTCTTCTTTTTTTAAGTAAAGGTGTTGTTGATGATGAGAGAAAATGGATATCCATTTTTAGATTTGTATCTGTTGTTATTTGATTGGTGATTGAATTTTTAAAGTTTGAAGCAATCATTTTCTTCCACCTTATTTGGTTGCTGTTGACTTGCTTAGTTTAAAGCTTTCTGTAAAAGTCTTTTGCTGAATCTACAAGTTGTACTATATGATTGCCGATTGGTCCTCATCCACACTTTTATGTTACAGTCTGCGGCATACTGGATAGATGTGCTATGCAGATATCACGTACAGCTCTTCTGCAAAGAAGAGTTTTGGATGGGGCTATTTATGGAAGGAGCTGCTCCCACAAGGTTTCTCTGTCTTTGGTTTTTCTTTTGTGGGGACTTCTCTTTCTCTTCAGCTTGCGGCTTTGTCATGGTGATGTTCATATAGGTAGTTCTTCGTTTTCATCTTCAACTTAACTGTCATGTTCTCCTAACCGGAATTGTTATTGTTCTGATTCTGTCTGTCTTTGCAGTCAGCCTTGTATTAGATCTCTTGCTCAGTTGGATTGTATACCTCCACCTCTGCTTCTTACATAATTATTGTGCATCCATCGAGCCATTCTTTAATGTTTTGTGGCTCATGATTAGGCAGCTATTAATCTTAGATTACAGTTTACTTGATTCGAAGGTGCAATCCATCCCCGCTACTCTTTATATTATTTGAAGCTTGTTATTATTCTTTGGATCAGCAGGGTCATTTCTTATGCCACTTCCCCCCTTCTTTTGGTTAAATAATTATGGTAAAAATCTGACAGGAGTAGTTGGGGTGCAAGTCATCTGAAGAATTTCATTAAGTTTATTTATTAAAGTATCAGTTTGGTGAGAATGGAGTATATGTGAAAAAGTTGTAAATAAGACTGGCTTTACATCTTTAACTAATTGCAGTTAAACAGAAAAATTCAAAAAAAAAAAATGCAAGGAAGTTGATAATATTGTGATACTATTCCACTAAACTAGAGCAGTGTGTGAGATATCTAATCAATATTTATAAAGAGGATAAAGCTGAAACTAGTTTCATGTCATTCAGGATGTATGAAACAACTGATCCTTTGAAGGGGGAAGAATAAGAAGTGTTAGCATGGTTCCCTTTCTATTGTTCTTTTTGTCCCATGTTGCCTCTTCAGAGCATTTTAGCATCAATTCTATTCTTCCTTGTTTATGCTAAATAAAGTCATCGATGCTAGTTCTCTCCTCCTTTAGGTTTCAATTTCTTTGTAAATTTAGTGGAACTTCAGACCATCAAGTTGAAATATCTATGCTAGTTCTTTTGTTTGAATTTGATTGTCACTTTTATACCTGTATACTAATCTGTCTGTAGTGAGTTTTCGACTCCTTTTAAAGTTATGGAAAAATGTTGCAGTTTTCTTAATCTATATCTCAAATCTGTTTTATACTTTTATTTTGGAATGGAAATAATTCATCTTTGTCTTGGAACTTTGCTAATTTATCAATGTTTCATCTCTCTGATTCCTTAAATTTCTCATCATTTTGTTGGCATGGTTGAAATTTGGAAAAGATTGTAGTACTGACTTTTTTAGTATCTTTCATATCTCTATTACTTGCGTCTCCTGGATTACGTTTGTTACTGATGTCTTCATAGTTGTTCATCCATTTACTGTTCAAGTTATTCATGTAATACTTTCTAAGAGTGCGAATTATTATTTCCATAAAATTTGAAAATTTGGGTCTTATTTATGTACTGTTTGGATAATCTTTAATTGCCGGAAATCATTTGCATGTCTTCTTACTATCAATTCTGTCATTTTAAATATAGGTGGGTCTGTAGTCCTTGGCTTATCAACAAGGGATGAAGCTAGGATGGGACACAATGAACATTCTGATTCTCCTGGTCAATGTTTGGTGGAGGAATTTGGCTCTATCTCTTCTCATGATGGTTTTTGTTCAAATGGTGCTGAGACCACAGATCTTCATACCGATTCACCTGCAAGTGATGAAACTAGCAAAAACGATTTCTCTACTCATGAGAAACTTGATGCTGGTAACTCTGTTGCGGATATAAAATCTGAAAATAGCTTTCCAAAGTCTGATAGACTGTCCCATGCTGTGCCTCTTGGTCTTGATGAATTCAAAAGCCGAGCATTCATTTCTAAAAGTAAATCCGGTACTGGTCAGGCAGGAGTAATACATAGGTTGGAGCCTGGGGGTAAAGAATACAACTATGCCTCAGCTTCAAAAGGGGCAAAGGTCCTGGCATATAATAAGGAAGCAAAGGGTGCCTCTAATATCTTAGGCAGAGATGAGGACAAATACCTCCGGAATCCCTGTTCTGCAGAAGAGAAATTTGTGGTTATAGAACTTTCAGAAGAAACTTTA